ACAACTGCAAAAGCATCCCTATGACTCCAAGGGTGACACACACACACAACAAAATAATGTCTGCGGAATGCACACCACAAGCAATTTGACTCAATGCAATTGGCCATTGCATATATAATGTATTTACCTGAGCATTCAGCCTACAAACAAATGAATCAGCTTCTGCTCTCGGCAAGTGTTCCCCAAAATAGCTCCAAGAGTGACCAGTGTTTGAAGCCCCTCAACCAGGGCATTGCAAACCCACCAGCTACCAGATCCCCACGCAAATTAATTACACAAATTCTGCAGCCAAAACATGCTAAACCCAATCAATCCTTGCACTTGCCTGTCACATTTCATTCCTCTTGCTTCGCTTCTCCATGTTTCCCCTTTAGCTGCTTTCAATATTTGCCATTCCTCTCTCATTTCCCCTTGCCTGGTTTCCACTATCCAAGGAATAGTGATGTGATCAAGCGGATCAGTTGTTGGGTGGTGGTGTTAGGTTGCCTATTCCTCCTCCGGGCTTCACGACAATGAGAGTGTTGTTTAGAGGGTCTGCGAGAGGTCCAAAGCAAATGCATTGATCGTTCATATGCAAATTGTTCAGCCCAATGTAACATGCTATGGGACTACCATACAATATCAAACACATGCATTACAAGAGCTGGTGAGGCAAAGTGATGAAGCTGAGGCACCCTCATTTCAACATGTTTGTTTTTATCATTTCGACAATGTATCACTTCAGGGTTCAGCATTTAACACTTTCCTTAACATCTTGCGCCTCCTGCACCTTGGGATCTTCCTGAACATCTTCTTCATCATCATCTTCATCTTCATCCTCCACAATAGCTCCAAGGCCGTCAGTCTTGCCGGGATATTGATCACTGGCAAGCCATCGCATGATGTCTGCCTCCGCATTGTCGGCGACGATTGCACCTCCGACATGGCCATTGTTGTTGTTGAACTTCACAAACATGATCTTGGGGTCCAGCAATGGCTCAACCAAACATTCTTCCTTGCGAGTCAAAACGGCTGAGTTCAAGAAGGCTGTGAGGTGGAATTCTGGGCCCTCCTACATGAAGGATCATCAAGCATCCAAAATCCCTGCTTCAGAGTGCAATGGCAAACAAATGGCGCATGACAGCTTGGGACCACGGGTCAGCTCACCTGGGTTTAATGATAGATACTCATGTAAGTATTACATATACCCAGGCACGACCCATGGGACTGCCATAGGACTGCCGCCCCATTGACCCCCAAGACCACCCCAACTGATGGGCAGTCCTATGGCAGTCCCATGGAGTGTATGGGATATATGGATAAGCACCATTTCCCTGTCAACACTTGCAGCCATCCAACCTGCACGACATGAATGAAGGCAAACAGGAAGGACTCGCCCCCTATTGATGCTAATGTGGTTCTAAATGGCCAGTAATCACAAGGTCCAGCTCAAGGGACGTGCTACCAGCTACCGTTTCTTGCTGGAGGTCAGTGCCCTCTGCTTCCGCTGGAACGTGTTCCTCATCAAAAACCATATCAATGTTGTTTCGAAACACAACCGAAAAAGGTGTTCTACGGTTTTTTTTTGCGGTTGCTGCACCAAGCTGGGACCAGCTTTCCTGTTTGAAGCGAGACTCCAGTTCCTTCCAATTCACCTCCTTCCGACTCTGCGTGCCATGAGGTTCAGGTTGACTGCGAGGCTCCCACTTGTAGACGAAGCAATCTACCATCCTTGGATGGCTCAAAACGCCACGATCCAGAAAATTCTGAGGCACAAGGACTGACAAGAATCAAGGCCAACCGAAGTCGAACATTCATGAAACTATGGAGCGTGGAGGCCAAGTGCATTTTGAGTGGTCATGCTTTCCTAGGCAAAAACATTGACATAATGAAATCCCAGACTCTCCACATGTGGCAAACAAACCGGACAATGCTGCTCCAGAAATTGGAGCCGTGTGTTGAATTTCTTTGCCCAGCGCGCTGCTGTCGTCTGCAGCTTGGTATACATGACATGAAAGCCGGTGATTGGCTTCCCCTTCTCTAGTCTGTTGGACTGCTTCGCGACTAGCCAATCTCCAACAAACCTGCATGCCAATTGATTTGAAGAGTGTCTCACTTCCCTGGCGATGAAGGCAAAACGTTCAGCACCCTGTGCAAAAGGACGTTTCAATATGGCAAGTCCATCTGCCAGTGGATCTAGAAACGGCTTTTGATTTTTCACTCGCTTGCCATGTTCATCTCTTTGTTTCAGGTAGACGATCCGGCTCAGTCCGTCGTTCGACTTAGATAGAACATCAAAATCACGCGAGTTGGGACGTTTGTAACGCTCGAGCTGCTGGCCCAAAGGAAGTCCATCGTCAATCGCCAGCAAACGCTTGGGATATAGAGATTGTCCCGGCGTAAGGGATGTACAGTGGGCCGTGGCCAAGGTGGATATGGTGGTGAGAACACTTCCAAGGGCCGCCGTTGATGTCTCACTGTCAATCGCCTTGGACGGACATCCCTCAAGCTTGGCTGCCTCCGCCAAGTGCTGCAAGAACTCCAAACTGCGTTTGCCAGAGGAGGCTGCGCCAAAGGCTACGAAAGTAAAGGAACCCCTGTCCTGAAGCTTCCGAGCAATCGCTTTCACCAATGATCTGACTTGTTCAAGAACCCAAGTGGACTGTGCCAGGCCGTCCCCAAGTCCAAACTGCAACCGTCTCTTTTGATCACTTGGTCGACCATCTGTCAGAAACACAACATTAACATTGCAGCTGTTGTGTGTGAGGCACGACGAAACGACTGCATGGGCTTTCTCGAAGGCAGGTATAAAGTTGCCTTGTCCTTTGGGTTGGCTGTGTTCGATACTCTGAAGTAGATCAATGATCTTGTTGTACGTAAGCAGGTCATAAGGCTCCTTGTCAAGGAGAATGGTTGTGGAGTCGCGCATGTCCATGATAGTGATCGCATCATGGCCACCACAGGCCTGTGGCTTGACAATGGTCTCCATGAGGTTGAGAAGAATCTCGGTGAACACAGCCACCGATCGATTTCTGGCACCTGGTACATCACTCATCTTCATAGAACCACTCTGGTCAATGATGAAGATTGTGTGATTTGAAATGCTACGGGGATTTTCCTTCAAGAACTGTCGATGATCTCTCCAGTGTGTCATAGTTTCCCGGTGGATCTGTGAAGTCTCCACTCTTTTCAAGGCCAACCCTTTTGCCCAGCATGTGATCTGACGCCCGTCAATGTCGGTGATGTGAGTCATCCCTCGGTACTCAAACTTCAATCTCAAAAGACCTGACCAGCATCTTCACGCTCCACGAGCCGAACATGCAAAATTGAGGCTTATCATCAATATTAATTCTGAAACATGGGCCCCCCACAAACAAACCATGGGCAACAGGATGAATAGGCAAACTTCTACTTGCAGCACTTGGTATGATACCAAAACCCAATTTCACGGAAACGCGAAAGAATGAATGTGTTTCACAAGTCCTGCGAACTTCAGAATTCCCTGCGATGTGGGCGGGCCCTGCCTTTGTTTGGACCATAAGGTGTGATTGTCTCGCTTCGGCGTCCATACTGCAGCGCCGCCTTCAGATCCGCTGAGGAGATGCGCCGCTGTTGCTGCCGCAACTGGCCGTGCTGACTTTGAATAAAGTCCACCATGGAGTCCACGGAGCTTTCCATGGAGCTTGCCATAATTAATAAAAACCTGTTTCAAACCAATTACATAAGCCATGTGCACAACTTGCTTGTTTTTTGGCACTTCTTAGGCATGCAGGAAATGGCCACACTTCATGCACCAATTGCCAGGGGTGTGCTGACTGGAGTGTTGGAGGATTCAGGGAACACCCAGCCCCACCAAAGTGAACAAGCATACACACACATCATCCATTGCATCTAGAACATGAAAAACCACCCGTCCAGATGCTTGGGGCAACCCGTCCTAATGTTTGGGGCGTCGTCCAACGGAGAGGAACCTGCTCCTCGTTCGTCGGAACGCAACTCCGAGTACTTTCGCCGCTCTCGGGTGAGTCGTTCGTCTGGACCGCGTGAGGTCGCTTTGGTCACTGAAAAATCACCGAACTCTCCCACCAGCGTCGCTCCCCCACGCGACGCAAACCACCTTCATGCTGAGACGATCTTGCTGGACAATCAAAGCGAAGGAGACCTTGATTCGATGGAGCCGAGGGAGGTATGACAACTGGGTCCAAGACCGATCAGCTTGTTTAGGCGACTTTAAGAGCACTGGGCAAAACAAAGGGCTCCAAACAAACAAACAAACAACCAACCGACCGACCAAACAAACAAACAAACAAACACATTTGGAATGGGGGTCTGCAACCACTGAAAGCACGTGTCAAATGACACAAAGTGAAACATGGTGAAATCCATGATCTTGAGAAACCTGATGGGTATCAATAAATGGTTCGTAATGTAACTGTAAGTCAGAAGCACATGCAAACTCCAACACGCAGCGATTGACTCTGACTTTGTTGGTCTTTGCCAAAGACCAACAAAGTCAGAGTCAATCGCGAGTCTTTGGTTTCTTCTTCTTTTGGGAGGGACTCATCTGGTCACCACTGAAACAGTGTCTCTATCCAGCAATCCCTCGTCTTGTTGCGCCTCCAATCAAGTTCTGCTATGTTTTTCAAATTCTGGCTGCTCCGTCTCGTCCCAACTGCGCCGTCGCCCTGGCACCCCGTCTGCTCCAGTGGCCCCGGCGACCTGTTCTCGGTCTCGGGGTGGTCGCGCCGACCTCCATGGAAAGGCCTCCTTTCGGAAGCCAAGATCCAAGATGTCTGGAGCCAAAGGCATCGGTATGGAACCGCTTCCTTATACTTGTATGTCAACCCGGACTTCTTGGGTGCGCGCTGGACAGACGTATGCATGACATGGCTCCCTTCTCCTGAGCACCAGCTAGTAGAAGATTTGGTGGTCAAGTAGTCAATATATATATATATATTCACTTGATTGGGGTCACAAAGAATGATCCACAATCGTCCAAAAAGGCTCCAAAATAAGCGAGCGCCGGAAGCCAGAGGGTGAGTTTGCCTTGGCTTTTCTGACCCTCAAATAGTAAACACATCGCAAAACCAGTCTTTTTTGCCATTGTCGAGTGAACATGTCACATGTTAATGATACCGGAGCTCGCTTTTGGAGCCTTTTTGGACGATTGTTGATCATTTTTTGTGACCCTCAAATAGTAAACACATCGTAAAATAAGTGTTTTTTGTTTGCAATTGTCGAGTGAACATGTCACATGTTATATAATGATATGCTCAACACTGCGAAAATCATACCAACGGTTTTTGCCAACAGACTTGTGAGACACACTGTCAAAACCGTAGTTTTTGGATCCAAATGCAAAGCAAACCTCGTAAACTCGTAAACATTATCTGATATTTCGGTGTTTGTTTGCCGAGGTTCAAAAGGAATCAAACGGGTTCTAAAAGTAGTGTTTCTGTTTTAACACTGCCATAATCTGCCATACGACATATGTGACGATTTATTGATACCGACTAATACCGACCGGTTTGGAGTCTAAACGTCCTGTTGAGTCAGTCCCGGTGATCTCCGGCGCACGCCGAACACCATGCTAGCATGGCAGCCTGCCTGTGTGCGAAGCTTATGGCACTACTTTGTGCATCGGTGTTAGATTTGACTTCGCTCATGCTGCTCCAACCTTTTTTGACCGTCAGCGCTTGGCTGTTAAGGCCCACACCGCTGCAGCCACTCCAGCATTCGTGTAAGGTCGGTGCGCCAAAATGCGAATTGTTGTCCAGGCCGTGGCTGTTTTCCTATCAAGAGGCAGGTATCCTTCCAGGTCTGAATCCGTCAAAAGAGAAAAGGGGCCTCTGCCTATCTCTGCTTCACAACTGGGGTAAATGCATGGATGGTCCATGAATGTTCTATCTCTGCCTACCTCTCATTGACTCACCTCGCAGATTTTCTGGAATCACAAACTATCGAGAACACATCCATGTGACATGGATGTGTAGCCTGAATGCTGCTATAACCACGCTGAACCTCGTGGTTATCGCTTGCGTGGATTTTCATGGAGTCTGGGCACTCCTTGATGGGTGCCATGCATCACCTTGACGCCACCGACCTCCAAGGTCTGCGGCCCACCGTCCCCCGGTTTCGGGGGGGTCAGCCGCCAACGACCTGCGTGCACAGCACAGCTGTAAGAACGACCAGCTTCGTGCGCTTTCGGTGGCCAGATTTGGGAGATGGGCTCATGAGTATATAGGGCCCGGGCAGTCTAGTAGTCATTCACTGGGTCCTCTTCCAACACGATCCAACACCAATATGATGCGAAGTAGTATACAAGCCTTGCGACTTTTATGAGATGATTGATGGTGGGATGTGCATTTCTTGGTGGGCGATCGGGTCGCATGTAAATTGCTTGCCCACTTCAGGATGGCTGAGGAGTTGGCGAGCCTCTTGGGACACTAAGAGGCTAAGGCGGCTAAGGGCATTGGCAAGGCACTTTTGAGAACTGAAAAGGTTTCATGCAACTTCACAAAGGATATATAAATCTGGAACACAAAGGAATGGTCACCATATACTATACCTACCTCAGGGCTTGTCGATCTACTCCAAGACGCGATTACTGCTGGAAGCAAATAAACTACTTCCTGACCTCTGTGTTTTGGGGTTTCCAGCATCCCTGCAAAACCAGTAGCAGCTTAGCAGCTGTTGCCTTGGTTTAAGCTGTGCAAGCATGCAACTCCCCGCCCAGCGCAGCGGCCGGACTAGGCATCATGGCTTTGCTGTGGGGGAAAACTAGATCTGGGTCCTTTGCAGCCATACAACCAGCACGAGAGGCCATTAAAGACAGTTGCCAAACCTTGTGGTAAGTTCAGAATGAATGCCACAACCCCCTAAGTTACTAAGATGTGGTACCTATGCTTGATCTAATGTGTCTTTGCTCAGAAAACTCCACCACTTGCCATCATCCTGGTTGTTGGCTGTGACCTGATGCGACTAACGAGGCTCATGTTGTGCGTTGGCAAGTGAAACAACAAGCACCTCAGCCAGCCGGCGGTCGACACAAGACTTCTTCTCATAGGCAGTCTTGGCATGCACCTCTTATCAAGATTGTTTTCTCACAAACAGCTTAAGGCATCTTGCATGCAAAGTCTCATCTCCTTGCTCTCTTTAAATCATGGAAGTGGAATGGGCACAGTTTCTAGAAGAAGGCAGGAAGTCTTCCTCCTCAGGCCACGGTGGTCTTGACATCATTTCATCAGCAACTATGAATGAGATTGACTTGATCGCAAGTATCCCCAGGACTCCTGGCTGACACCCCGCACTCCTCAAACAACTGCAAAATGCGGCGCCCATTAAAGCCCAAGTCGCCTATCCGGCCTCCACCAAGGCGGCCAAGCGCCTGTCGGAACAAGTGGGTTGGACCGCCACAGGGCCCAGGCCTAGCTCACGAAAAGATCTCTTTGTGTCACCCCCCACAGAAAAAGGCAAAAAAACAAACAAGACACATGGGAATGGTTTGTTCGCCAATCACTTGGGGTGGTTGAAAGGGGGATCAATATAAATACTCCACACTATGGAGTCTTTAGGTGTTCGGTCACCGGCGCGCGATCGATCGACCGCCTTCGAAGGCGTTGTTGCATCAGATCCACGTCGTCATGCAACGCACCCATGCCGTCCTCACAGGATCGTCGTCAGGTTTTGGCAGTGCGGTCATGTTTTGTTGACCCAAGTTTTAGCTTACAATTTATGCACACATGCTCGGGGTTTGACGGATCAGGGGTTGTAGTGGGTTGTGCCATTTACTCTTTCAAAAGAAGTGTCAAGTATTTATATATACACTGTCAAAGGGCAAAATGTGATCATGTTTGATGATGATGATCACAACCTCATGTTTCGACTCTTGATCACAAATCCTCGGAAGCGTCAGCAACCTTCGGACGAAGATCAGGATCGAAGTCACCTGGCAATCTTGCATCTGGAAGGAGGTGATGGAGATGGCCACAGTATAGGAACTTAGGAACTCTGTGAACATCCAACATGACGAAGGCCGTGGTTGTGGGACCACAAGTGTCACAGGTGAGTGGACTAATTAATGCTCGGATGTGCCGGGCATTTCCACAATTTTCCACAAGACAACACCGTGCTTCTTTCTGTGGTCGCCCCTCACAGCATCACAACATATCCCAACCATTCATTGGCTGTTTGGATTGGTGGGAGCTGGCTTTCACGATCTTCCAGTGTCTGGGTGGATAGCAGTAGTGTCTGTGATGACCGAGCAGTCCCCTACCCTCGGACAGCACACTGCCGGGCCCAGCCGGTCCAAACAGCCACAAACCAAAGAGATTGGGCATGGGCCACTTCCATGACATCGGTTTTTTTCATCAGGGCATCTCCACCCCAAACATCCCCACCATCCAGGCATAGAAAATGAATAGTTGTGGAATGTTGTGGATAGCAGCCAGCTGGGTGCGCAGCTTAGCCGCTGGGTGCGCCTTGCGCCGAGTGCTGACCGATACCTTTTCCCCCACAGTTCTGACGCTGACGCTGGGCGCGCCGCGAGGTACTCAAAACGTCGAGCGATGAAGGCTGAAGCACTCAAGCCGAGAACTGGAGGTGACATGCAACAGGTGCTTAAGCATGGCAACATGATTGTGAAGGTGCAAGTTTCCAAGCAAATCAAACAAGCATCGTCAAGCATACTGTCGGAGCGGTACAGCTCCCACATGGCTAGCCAGAGGCAAGCTTCAAGACGTATATCGATACTCTGTTACCGTATCTTGACGACGATGACCACCTCGATTCTGTCGCCATTGCCATTGCTTGTCAATCGGATTCAATTGGCTTTACTTACCAGTGAGCAGCCAAAAGGGCTTGGCCGTCAGCCAATAGGATCCCGCCAGAACCATGCTTGCAAGCAGAACATGGCAAGGTGTATCGCAGTAGCCATTGTCCTTGTTGTCCGCCGTTTGTGGAGTGCCTCCACAGGGCCAACGTGCTGTCTATCCACCAAGCTATGTTCGTGAGCTGTTGGCTTCGTTTCTTGTAGCCGCCACCATAACCCATGGATCTCGGACGGTTGGTCGGCACGTCGGCTAAACATTATGATTCATCCACCCCATGCATGCCAAACACAATGCATGCATAGATTTACATTGAAATCTCTGAGAAAAGCTGGCATCCTTCGCAAGAAACACATGAGTTCCAACATGTTCCAACCCTTTCAACATGATCAGTGCTCAGTGTAAGTGGCCAAAGGATTCCAAGAAAGGTTCTGACATGTTCTGAAACATAGACCTGGCCGTGTCGGGCTAAGAAGACCAGGCTCCTGACCTATCAAAAGCAAGGATTGTGAAAAACCTGGTCTGTCGAACACTTGACTTTTCAAGAAACTCACCGGCCCTCCGAAGTCCCAACCAAACAGATTCTTCTTGCCAGAGCTTCCCGGTGGTGTTGGATGGTGCTGGGTTCCGGGACCCAAAGCTTTTGAAAAAGACTCGGATATGATATATATATATATTTTTTTTTCTGAAATGATCAGGTTCGGATCGCGATGACCCACATGATCCCAACAAATCCCCTGCAAACGTACGGCCAGTACGCCCGGCCAGTACGCCATCCCTGGCGCCTGGCTTGGAGTTCTTCCGCTTGGGCTGAGGGACCACACGCCCATCCTGGCAGAGGTCAGTCGAGTGGGATGCACTTTTGTGTATCACCGGCGGGGTAGCAACCGGCATCCCAATGGACACACCCCACAAGAGATATCGTCTGCACGGGCAAACTAACTACTGTAGTGACACTCGTGCAAAGTAATTATATGGTTTGCCTACATAAGCCTTTCGGACATATATAATTGGCCACACATAAGCTGCGGGCGGGCAAAGTGTGTAGATGCATCCCTTAAGCAAAGGTCTAGCCTAGTCAAGGGCAAATTCTGACGGAAGAGTCCTTGCTTGGGATGTGGTACCTCAAGAAACCATTCAGTCACAAAAACTGAATCTCACATTTGCACAAACCTCTCAAACTCCTGGTCGTGGGGTCCGGAAAGGTCAGTTGAGTGCAAGTGGCTCCAGGAAATGCCGAGCACCTTATCAGGTCATCATTTTATCGTCATGTGAATGTTGGCCTGTAAATTGTTTTTTTCTTGCTCTTGTCTGTTATGTGTGCGTTGTTTGGCTTTCCATCATGGGACGTCGGACTAGGGCTTTGGCATGTTTCAAGAACCATCACGAACCTTTCCTTGGCTAAGAATGGCCTCACTTCTCCGACGAAGTGAGAATCCTCTGCCAGCTGTGCAGGCGCTCACCCAACGATTAGACCACTGTGCCTCTGCTTTGCGGCTCTGGTCAAGATCCTGCCGAGAAACACGCCATGCACCACTACCCTGATTGGATCCAAACTAGCAGCTAGCTAGCGGCTGAGGCCGGGTTCTTGCATCAACTTCCTTCCAACAAATCCAAAACGACCCACATGTGTGGCCACATGAGAGGTTTGGCCGTTCTCAACCCCTACTCAGCAGACCGCCTCGCGCTCGCGCTTCGACGTCTCCGCACGGTCGAACTTGCTGGCGTAGCTTTGGCTGAGACCGTCGAAGGCAAATGACGTCGGCGCTAGACGGGGCGGGTCAAAAACGACACATGTCACATGCAGCATGAACCTTTCTAGATTTTGCCCCTGTGATCCCAAACTCATATGTCTGTCAGTGCGCTGGAAAAACCTCCTATGCTGTGGTTGCCTAAAGGGCAAGCACGGGCAAGCCATTATCCAGCTTGTTGCACTGCTGTGCAAAGACTCGTGATTTGGGCAGCTTCGCTAGCAAATACCACAAGGGTTTTGCTGACTGCCCGGCCAGGCTGTGTGGACTGAACATGGGGGCACTCCTATCCTCCACACCTCTCTCCGGAGTCTAAGACGATTTTAAGATGGTCTTTACATGTCCCAAACCTATGGGAATTTGATGGAACTTTGTGAACACTTCGGTGCTGCTTCGGCCTTCGGCGGAGCGAAAACGGACCTTCCAGCCCATGCTTCCTTCGCTCGCTCCATCGCGGAGGCGGAGACGGAGCCGGGTCCAGTCCGAGGGATCCTGTCCTGGGCCAAGGTGAGGTCCAACTGCTGGCCGTTCTCTGCCTGAAATCGGAGGCAAACGCCGAAGAGTCCGAAACCAGGGCAAACTTCTCGCCGTTGAACGGTCGCTTCCTCAATTTCGAAAGGTATACGGTGCAAGAATTGGAGCTTTTGGAAGCTTTTGAAGCAAGTGCTTCGAGCCGAAGCTTCCAACCATTTGCTCTGTTCATCCCTTAGGTCATCTTAAGGTCCAGGGGCAGTCACGCTGGATGCAACAAGGGGACCTTTACCAACCATCTCCACCAACCACCACCGGCCTGGTGAGGGGCCTGGCACCAGCCTTCGTTGATTCACAAAATCACCAATCCAAATGATGTGATTCATCCAGATTCTACGATGCTCCGACCCCCACATGATTGGTGGGTTCACCACACCATGTGCTCAGACCACCAGGTGACTTTGGGCGAATCTGTCTGCCTTGACGGTGCCAGTGCGGACCCATTGACGGATCGCGGCATAGGTGTTGGTGTCCTCCCACCTGACAGTGTCATCCATGGACAATGGGTGAGTCCCATGTGAACACCCACCTAAGGCCTAAGGTTTATCATGGGGGAGGCATGAGACGCATGATAGAAGTCTCGTGATGTTGAGACTCTGATTTTCTGAGCTCTGATGTCACTTCGAGACTTAGATGAAGAAAATGACACCTCATGAAACCTCTACATCTCATCTCTGTCATTTGCCCACTTCTTTGGTGCGTTGGCATCAAAAATGAAACAGGAAATCAGCAGCTGTACCTCTGCAAACACAAAGGTGAACGAGCCGGGCCGGGCTGCCCTTTTTTGGCAGCCATTGGTGTCCAGTCATGCCCTATTATTGGCCCTAGTGCATTTAGTTTCCAAGGCACTAGCTGGGAGGAATGCACCAGTGATTCCAAAGCAAAAACTCAAAGACCGGTTGGGTTGGTTTCCTGGGATATCCGCTGGGTATGGGTGTCACCTGCTGACAAGGCCGAAGCATCACCAAAAAAGCCTCGAGGATTTGAAGTTGCATCTGACTTCAGCTGAGGCATTGGTCACCATTGGTCAAAGGGGAGCTTCAAATCATCACCCAGGTACTTCCAACTCTGTCAGACAGTATGCTAGCCACAATCGCTTGCAAAGAGGCTTGGAAGTTCCAAGCACATGTCAGACCTATCACTTCCGGAATCAGTTTCGGACGACAACAGGAGCCTCTCCCACGGATCTTCACATGTTCTGGATCATATCTCTAGGCTTTGAGCGACCAAATGTGCAAAAAAAGAAGCACTGCATCGGATGCCCTCACTACACGTCCAACCTGAGGAGGGCTCCCTAGATAACCATAAACTTCACCCACCTTTACCATCCCCTTTCAAGGCTGACTTCTGCTTCTTTCCGCCAGTATCTCAGCTCTCTTGCTGTCAACTACTTTGCCGCCCAAGCGTCTTGGAGAAATCCGCCACTGGACTGCTGGACTCCTGCGGAAGTGGGGGTAACTGGGGTCGGCCTTCGATCGAGTGCTGAGATGGACTGATGCTACTCTAGCTGATGCTATCGAGTATACAGCCCTGGTCCTGAAAGCTAGGCTACTAACTGGGGTAGATCCTGAACATGGATCCCCCTTCCTCAGAAAAGAGTCGTTCATAACGACTGCCTCTATAGTGATCCATGATACAACGACCCGGTGTTTCAGGGGCCGGCAGCAAACCCCTGCAATGACTTGCGCTCTGACGAACACAGATGGTGGAAGTGGATGGCATGGCTGCTTGGAAGACGACTTTCTTTCCTTGTTCGTCACAGGAGGTGGTCCACTCCACCGAACGACCTAACTGTCGGACTCGGAACGCCCAAGTCACGCCAACCCGACTTGCCACCCGACCGGTGTCGTCCGGGTCCCACGAGAGGTCATCGGATCGATGAGCAGCACAGAACAGTGGTTTTCAACATATCCCAAACACTCCATGGGACTACGTTCGTAGCCTTCTTGCTACTAGCAGTCATGCCCTTGTTACTACTAGCTTCTTGTTACTAGCTTGCCCCGCGTCCCATGCCCTTCCTGAAGCAGGTTTCCTGCCTTGCTGCCAGCTCGACTGCCCCCCTGTGCAAGGACCGGCACCAACCAATGGATGCTTCAAAATGAGTCAATCTACAATCCTATATGGACACCTCAATCAACCCTAAACCCGAACCTCCATACACACCTACAGAACTCACGCGGGGTACATCAGTACGCCAGCACAACCCGTATTCTAGGATAGATTCAATCATGTCATACCTTGTGAACGAGGTACATCGTTAGATGTTCATGCATGTTCAGTACCATCCACGCACATGCCTTGAAATCTGAAAGGGTTTACAGTATACATTCTGTTGCTACATTGTAGTACATCTGACCAACTGAAGAGGGACCTGGAAAGGGTCGATGATCCGATGCCTCCAGCTTGAAGCTGACGCTCTGCTCTAAAGGTTCCTGGCGCAAAGCATTTACCTCCATCGGCGAAAAAATACAAGGTGAGCCCGCGGACCCAAAAGCAAAAAGAAGCGCGCAACCCAGGAAAAATAAACAAACACAAATTAGCAGGCCAAAACGAAGCATCGGCCCCCTCCAGGCTTCGTGGCAACGATGATATTTCAAGCATCGCGGTTCTGGTGCAACACAGCTCCACTCGCCCCCCAACAGGCTTCCGCGAAGCATGGAGCAGCACTACCCCCACCCATGCTTCGTTCTACTTGTGCACTGACCCGGAGCAGCCTGCAATGATGCTGGTGGTGCAACCATGTGCTCGACGCAACAATCCTGCCGTTTCAGCCACGACTTGACCGTCTGTCGCGTGCATTGCGCACTTTTTGGACACCCAAGACCATCGTATAAGCCCCGCAGCTCCACTCACCTCCCAACGTGCTTCCGCGAAGCATGGAGCAGCACTACCCCCACCCATGCTTCGTTCTACTTGTGCACTGACCCGGAGCAGCCTGCAATGATGCTTGTGGTGCAACCATGTTGCGCGTCCACACCCCTGCACTCCCCAGCCCCGTCCACACCCAAGCCACGCCGTCTCACTCCCCTCCATCTTCCCTCCCCAGCCCCGTCCACACCCATGTGCGCCTCCCACTCCCTTCCTTCTTCCCTCCCCACCCATGCGCCTCCCGTCTCGCTCCCGTCCATCTTCACGCGCCCCCCCGTCTCGCTCTCCTCCATCTTCCCTCCCAGCCCCGACCCCACGCGCCTCCCGTCCCACCCACGCGCCTTCCGTCGCGCTCCCCTCCACCCATGCACCTCCATCTTCCGTCTCGCTCCCCTCCATCTTCCCTCCCCAGCCCCTGGCGTACTTCTAGGGCTCCGTCCGACTCTGTGCCGCACGGTCTCCGACGGATCCCCAGTTTGGACCACGTGTGGCGTTGGGCCCAAATATGGCCTTTTCCTGTCAAAAAAGGTGTCAAACGGATTGTAGGTGTGTATATATATAATATATATCAACTGGTTGTTTTCAATCTGCAGCTAGTCTCCAATAACATTGCAACATGGCTTCTGACAACCGTTCCAGGAAGCCTGGAGCAGTATCGGCCCCCTCCAAGGTTCGTTCCAGCCGTGCAATTTCCCACGTTGCGCTTGTGGCACATAACGCTCCTCCCGTGTCGGCCATGCCTTGACTGTCTGGCGCATGTACTGTGCAGATTTTGGACACCCAACCCCATCGTATCAGCCCCGCAGCACAGCTCCACTCACCACCCAACACACGTCCGCGAAGCATGGACCAGCACTACCCCCACCCATGCTTCGTTCTACTTGTGCACTGCCCCAGAGCAGCCTGCACTGATGCTTGTGGTGCGACCATGTGCTCAACGCAACCATGTCTGCCGCGTGCATTCTGCACATTTTGGACACCCAAGACCATACCTCAGCCCCGCAACACCGCTCCATTCACCTCCCCACGTGCCTCCGCGAAGCATGGACCAGCCCACCCACGCGCCTCCCGTCTCGCTCCCCTCCATCTTCCCTCCCCACCCCAGCCCCGTCCCCACCCATGCGCCTCTCTCGCTCCCCTCCATCTTCCCTCCCAAACACCCCCACTACCATGCACACTGCAAAAACCAACATTCCTGTCCGACACCCTCAAGAATATCTCCTCTGGAACCTTTCGAAAAAACATCAAGGAGGGTCCGGGTGCCGGTTGGAGGGGTCCGGGTGTGTGTGTGTGGGCCCACCTCTTTCTCTCTCTCTCTCGTTTGTGTCTGAGGGTTGGAGGGTAGGAGGCCCGACACAGTCTGACACTACCCAGCGGGCGCAAAACCTTGAGATGGATGTGGTTGGCGCATCAAGCAGGCTTCGAACCGGTTTCTCCACGAATAAGGCTCTTCATTTCGTTAACCATCGTTAACCCTTTAGATCCACATACTCTCTAAGAAGGTGATTAAAGACGCCATTACATTATCCCTAGGGCTCCAAGTACCTTCTAAGAAGGTGTTTGGGTTGGAGCCCTAGGGTATATAATATAATATATATATATATTATATATAATATATATACCGACGGACTGAAACATAGAATACCAGCCGGTTTTCCAAACGAAAAGGGGTACTATTTTAGAATGCCGTCAAATGGTGTTCGAAGGGGGTATTTTAGAATGCCTCCCTATATCTCTACCGGAGGCATTCTATGTTTCAGTCCGCAATAGCAAAAATGGAATAAGGAGTCTGTTTCTATGTACTCTCTCTCCCTCTCTCTCTCTCCCTCTATCTATAATATGTATATATTTAGATTTATATATACAAACACTCTGAACGTCTGAACGTTGTCAACTCCGATCCTGCACAAATCCACAGAACTCAGCCACTTTTCCCAATTCCCGCATCTCGTATGTCTGAAGTTCACCTATGGCCTTCATATGATGCCTGCCAATTTTCCCAAATGCCGGCCTGGGGGAGACTTAGAATGCCGGCTCGGAGGGCTATCTTAGAGTGCCTGCATATTAAGTTGTTTGATGTTTTTTGGGCATCTACCAGAGTCATTCTAAGTTTCAGTCCGTAATGCAATACACCAAGCAAATACGGAATGAGGAGCCTGTTTAAATGTGTTACATACTTGACAATATGGCTGTGTAGACTGTGCCTTGCAAGGAGTAGCCATAGAACACCCCATAACAGACACAGTGCCAAAGAGGCATCTGACAGGAAGGGACGCGGAAAAGGCAGAAAGTTCAAAGGCTAAGTCAAAGAAGGAAAAATAGTCACAAGGAGGAACACAGGAAGGAACTAGGCAAGAAAGGGACGAAAAAAGGCAAGGAGCAGAAATGAAGGATTGGAAGGAAACCGGAATGGCAGAAAAGGATCAGAAAAGGGTATGCACGCTTGGAGTTCCACCACCCATAGGCATAGCTTGCTTGTAAAGACTGTGTGGGAAAGCTTTGTGCAGGGACTGGCCGCGGAAATTTGCACCGAGAAGTGGACTGCGGACTGCCCACTTAGAATGCACCAGGCTGGCTCAAGGCAAAGCAAGGAAGGGAAAGGGAAGGCAAGGAATTGACCGCGGAAAGGAAATGGACAGGCAAAGAAAAAATCAAAGGCAAACTAAACGAAAAGAACGAAAGGACACCGGAAAGGAACACCCGCCGGAATGGAATGAAAACAAATGAACACCATCAGACTTAGAATTAGAATGCCACCACCCAAAAACCAATACCCCATACCAGACACAATGGCGGGGAGGCTTCAGACAAGGAAGATAGCAAGGTGAGTCAAGGCAGGAAAGGGGATATATACAATTGCGAAGATCACAGGAAGCAAACATGCAGGAAGGGGGGAAGGAAAGGCAAGGCGTAGAATATCCCACAGCATGTATATACGTCGCGTGTCTGACATGTGTCCAAGTTTAGCACGGAAAATGCACTAAAATAGAAACATTGAATGCAACATCTTACTGCAAAATGCACGCTTTTGGACGCCTGAAACTTAGAATGCCTCAATTCATGAGATATAACAAGCTAAATTTGGTTGCAGTCTTGCTTGGAAATCGACAGGCGTTGGCTCACAAGTGGTTTTGGGAGCTTTTTTGATTGTGTAAATGATGGGTTGGAGTATCCATAGTGTAGATGGTGTAGAGAAAGTGATGTGAGGAATGCAATTGTGCTGGTTGGCCTGACCTTGGTTAGGAGAAGCCAAGACTGTGCGTTTTGACACGAATGATTGCCAAGTAGCTCAATGTTCGGACCGGCAAGAAACGGAAGGAAACTGGAAGGGAACACACACCGGATTGGAATGAAAACAGCTAAACTTAGAATGCCGCAACCACCCCAAACCCTAAATCGCAATATGGCTGCGCTGTGTAGCCTTCGAAGGAGTAGCCGTAGAATCCCCCAAAACAAACACAGTGCCAAAGAGGCATCTGACAAGGAAGGGATGCCCGGAAAAGGCAGAAAATTCGAAGGCAAGTCAAAGAAGGGAAAAAGAAACACATGTCACATGTAGGAACACAGGAAGGAACTAAGGCAAGAGAGGCAGAAAAGAAAGGCAAGGACAGGAAAGATTGCCAAGGGAATGGGTTAGCAGAACACACCGCACACTTTTAATCCAGACACCCAAAACCATGCATTACATGTGAAGACTGTGTGTGGGAGCTTTATGCATTGAAAGGACAAAAACGTGGCAGGTACAGTGTAGACTAGATTGCTCACTTGGAATGCCCCATAACAATGACCATGTGAAGGAGGCCGGCTTGCTATAAGGAAAGGAAGCGGAAAAACAGCAAATAGGAAGAGAAAGCAAATAGAAAGGGAGAAAGGCAAGGAACTGACCGCGGACATTTTGCAGGCAAAGGGAAAATATAAGGCAAGCTAAAAGAACAGGGGGGAAGGAAGCCGGAAAAGAGCACACACCAGCATGAAATGAAAACCATCAAACTTAGAATGCCACCACCCAAAACCATCAATCACAATATGGCCGTGTAGACTGTGCCTTGGAAGAGGTAGCCGTAGAATACTCAGGAAGGCACGCGAAAAAGGCATAAAATTCAAAGGCAAATCAAAAAAGGGAAAACAAAACACAGGAAGGAACTAGGCAAGAGAGGCAGAAAAGAAAGGCAAGGACAGGAAGGATTGCCAAGGGAATGGGTTAGGAGAACACTTACAGTATAATCCAACCACCCGAAAATATACATTACATGTGAAGACGGTGTGCGGGAGCCTTATTGAGGGAAACGGTGCAGTGTAGACCCCACAACAGCAACAATGTGAAGGAAGCCAGCTCGCCACAAGGAAACATCCCCATTCCTTCACTGTTCAAAAATGGGCCGTAGCCATATTGTGATTTGGGTGGTGGCATTCTAAGTTTGATGGTGTTCAACTCATTCTGGCATGTGTTTTTTACAGTTTCCTTCCGCTCTTTTCGTTTAGCTTGCCTGTAATTTCCCCTTTGCCTGCCCATCTCCTTTCCGCGTTCAAATGCATTCTATGTTCCCCAGTATGGAAAAATAAGGAACACGCACATATATGCTTGTGCATATGCCAAAATACATATAAAACATGTATATATATATATATAACTTGACCGCCAAGACTAAATGCCACATGTCAAATACATGGGAGAGCAGCGCAGAAAGACTCACCCTTGAGCCCTTTGAGCCACACTTGGCTCGGTCGCGTCCTCGGTCACGTTACCCCTCGGAGGGATATCCCCCGGACACCCATTTTGCCGATTTCCAAAAAGGCATTCTATGTTTCAGTCCGTCGGTATATCAACTGGTTGTTTTCAATCTGCAGCTAGTCTCCAATAACATTGCAACATGGCTTCTGACAACCGTTCCAGGAAGCCTGGAGCAGTATCGGCCCCCTCCAAGGTTCGTTCCAACCGTACAGTTTCCCACGTTGCGCTTGTGGCACATAACGCTCCTCCCGTGTCGGCCATGCCTTGACTGTCTGGCGCATGTACTGTGCACATTTTGGACACCCAACCCCATCGTATCAGCCCCGCAGCACAGCTCCACTCACCACCCAACACACGTCCGCGAAGCATGGACCAGCACTACCCCCACCCATGCTTCGTTCTACTTGTGCACTGCCCCAGAGCAGCCTGCACTGATGCTTGTGGTGCGACCATGTGCTCAACGCAACCATGTCTGCCGCGTGCATTCTGCACACTTTTTTGACACCCAAGACCATACCTCAGCCCCGCAACACCGCTCCATTCACCTCCCCACGTGCCTCCGCGAAGCATGGACCAGCACTACCCCCACCCATGCTTCGTTCTACTTTTGCACTGCCCCAGAGCAGCCTGCAATGATGCTTGTGATGCTTGCGGGCTCCGCTGCCCTCCATCTTCCCTCCCGAGTCTCGTCCCCACCCACGCGCCTCCCGTCTCGCTCCCCTCCATCTTCCCTCCCCAGCCCCGTTCCCACCCACGCGCCTCCCGTCTCACTCCCCTCCATCTTCCCTCCCCAGCCCCGTCCCCACCCATCCGCCTCCCCTCCATCTTCCCTCCCCAGCCCCGTCCCCACCCATGCGCCTCCCGTCTCGCTCCCCTCCATCTTCCCTCCCCAGCCCCGTCCCCACCCATGCACCTCCCGTCACTAGCGACTAAACGAGAACCCAAGCATCGGAGATGATTTTGGGAATAATCATTATGGCAACGGGTTCAACCTGATAATGATACCTGCATCTATTCCCCGCAACATCTCTTGAACACGCACATTCTCCTTGGCGCCCTCTTTCCGCATCCATTGGCGGATCGCGGCGTAGGTGTCCGTCTCATGCCACCTGGGAGAGCTCAAGAGTGGCACCCACTGGAGCCACATGGCTCCGGTGGATTCTCCTTTTGCTTCTGTCATGAGCAGCCCCCAAAACAGCTTTCGTTGGAAAACGTTCGAAGTATCATACCTTTGATTGCTGCTTGCTCGGATCTACCGTGTTTTCTTTTTTGCAGGTTCGCTTGAACACATGCGCGAGCGAGTCCATGCTAAGGATTCCATGAATTGTCGATCCGATCTGTCCAGAATGATCGGTTTGCGGCAGGTCTGAGATGCACCTGATGAGAAAAAGTGCAGCTTGAACAAAAAAGCTATGCATGTCAACTGCCAAGGCCTACCTTCTAACTCTGTTGTAGATTTTAGTCATAACCGCCGGCCTATCAGCATCGACCAGTGAGCTTGGACAAGTTAAGCCACCAGGAACACTTCTTTCTTGTTTGACAACCTTGCTCGATCACAGCCCTACGAGCCCGTCTACGGTTTGGACTGGAACCACCTTGCAGCCAAGCCAAATTGGTAGAAACGGCAAATAAAAACGGAGCAAAAACGAATCCAAAAAGGAGCAAAAGCGAATCCAAACGAATCTAAACGAATCCATTGCGTTCTTCTCCTGTTTGGATTGGGTTTAGCCCAAAACGAGGCCAAGTGTCTTGGGCGACTCCGCTGGTCGACTAGAGGAGGAGTCCTCGCTGGTCGACCGGCGAAAGAGGACTGAGTTCAATCGCTCATAGACCTCCAACATGTTTATGCTTTGTTTGGATCCACATCAATCATCAACATCCATTCCATCTGCGAGTGTGATTAAGTATCCTATAGTAGCATCCTATGTGCTGAACATCACAAGCAGAGCCGAAGCTCAAGAAGTGTGGAGCCAATGTTCTTCTCAGGCAAGCCGGGGCGGCTAGTATCATTCCCACCGCATGCTTGATTGCAAGGGTGCGAGGCTTTTCTCTCATAATGCAAGAAGAAAAAGCAACGTTACACTTGGTGTATGCAATACTAGGCTCAAAGGACGATAACGGGCTTCGACATGCAAGATAGCGCCACCAAGAACGAGACACTTCAAACGAACAGATTGAGAGAACACCACCCGTACAGCCCATTTGCTAGCATGAAGGTGTTTATGTCGGATTGAAGCTCCCCCTGCTTGTGTCCTTCTTCATAACTAGATGTCACAATGACCCGAAGCAAGACTCATTGTGTGGGAGACAGCCATCTAACTTAATCTGATAGTTTTCCACAAGCTCATTGCCACATCGAGGGAAACAAGGAGACCTCCCTGTCCAATTGATACAACTTCTTCACTACACCTTGAGTACCCATTCCGCAGGAGCTGGTCCATCATCACAGCTCAAAGCATTTGGAGATATTTAGAGCATCTACACTCCAACCCGCTAGCCATCCATTGGTGGGTCTTCAAAGAATAGTCTGAACACAACCCATGGAACCTACTCAAGTGCACCAAAACAAGTCAGTGAGTCCCAGTGTAGGTCTCTCAAATTCCGATGCAAAAGCAACACCAGTCACAAAGCCTAATCAAAGAAATGCCTACACCCCAACACTCCAAAACAAAGAAAGGGGACTCCCCTGCTGGTAGAGGAAGAATCGTCCTGGATTGGTGGTGGTGTAGGGGGAGTGAATCTGTGACTAGTTCACTAATCTCGATCAAATTCCCATATCACCACTCACTATGCGGACGCCCAGACCTTGCTGCCGGCGCGACTCTCCTCCTGGAAGAAAAAGCTGGTGATTTCTCGACAGTGGGACGGAAGGAGCTTTTCTCTATGCTCCCGTCTGGCGCCAACATCTGAAAAGCTCTAAGCTTCCTTTGCTTGTCAATGATCCTTAGAATTGAGTTGGTTTCTGATGCTTCTGCAGCGTTCTGGAGCTTTCAAAAGACCTATTATTTTCTCCCCTCCGTTCTCTCAATCTCTCCCAATTGTGGACACACCGTAAAGACCGTGTAGAAGCGCTCCTTCAGCAAACGAATCCCAACACCGTCCAACAGCATGTGCTATCTGAATTTCGAACTTGCCCTCGATTAGCCGTGAAACAAGGGGCACAATCCAATTCCACAAAAGCTATACTTCTTCTGTGTAAGTTGTCTGGGGCGGATACAAGATAAGCCAGAGTGTGGGCCAGGTGGTTGGAACAGTTCCAGTTCCAAGTCCAGATCGATTCCAAAGTGGTGGTAGCTGTCTCAGGGGTGGGGCAGCAGTTCTAGTTCCAGTTCCAGATCCAGTTCCAAAGTAGTGCTCACTGTCTACAGGGTGGGGGGGTTCCAGTTCCAGTTCCACTTCGAGATCTAGTCCCAAAGAGGTGCTAGCTGTCTCAGAGGTGAGGGCCCGAGTTCTAGATCCTGTTCCAGTTCCAGATCAAAGTGGTGCTCACTGTCTACGGGGTCGGGGGGGGCGCAGTTCCAGTTCCAGTTCCAGATCCAATTCCAAAGTGGTGCTCACTGTCTACGGGGTGGGGGAGATCCAGATCCAGTTCTAGATCCAGTTCTAGTTCCAGTTCCAGTTGCGATTCCAATTCCTCTGATAACGGAAATAACTACTCTATTTTTTGGGGAGGGCGGGTGCAGTTCCAGTTCCAGTTCCAGTTCCAGTTCCGGAGCACTATGAGATAGGCGTAGCGTTAGCCAAGACCGTTTCTGACGGACATAGCCTGGTGTGCTTTTTTAAACGTGTCTTCCACAGTTAACACAGTGTCGGTGCAGGTCACCTTGGTCGCCTTTGTCCTTGAACGGTAGAACCGCCGGACTCATGTGGACTCCCAACTCTCCGTATCGGCGATCCTTGGCCCCCCTCCTCAGCTGAAGCGACTGCCCAAAAGACCGGTCTTGATCCTTTTTCGTTGCAAGGACCGGTCTTTGGGGCATTGCACTAGGACTAGGAGTTTCTACAAGATAACCCACTGCTTTCATCACTTTCTTGAGTCTTGCTTTGGTTCTCGTTCTTCTCCCGCCTCATGCGCTTTTCATGGTAGCACGCCTTGATCCCCATTGCTGACCATCTGGGCCTGGCATGGTCTGCCTTCCATCTGTCGCATCGCATTTTGTTCAAAGTTATCGCCATGTTTTGCACTTTCCATCTTGCCAGAGGTGCACTTGGTGACCTGTCCCTTCTTCCCGGTCCTCTGTGGTAGGCTTCTCTTGGCTGGTCTTTCGGAGATGGCCATCTTTGACACCAGGGGGCGTGAGATAGTGCAAAGCCGAACTGGCCAAACGTAGCAGGAACTTAAAAATCGGAAGGATATCAAGCTCGCAACTTTCAGAGCAATCAAACATGTACAAAAATTCAATTCCAATTGGATACATCGCCAGCATTGCATCAAATAATCGAAACATATTGAAAATAATGGAGCCGACCCGGCTTCAAAGCTGCTTAAATGAACAAACTGGATGTCTATCGACTCTCTCCCTCTCTCTGGAAAGAACCAACAGTTGAGCTGTCCACTGTGGGCGTGCTACATATGGACGCTCTTCTCTATCATGTGCTATCTGAATTTTGTCTTGTAGCCATATGGGTCACATTCAAATGGGATGAACAATGCTTAACATTTTCCTAAATCACAATCCTTTACTCTGCCTTGTTGTGCAAACCAACAATCCACCCTGCTCCTTGGCTTCGAGGCCAAAACCGTAACCGCCCCTGCGTTGCGGAGACGCTGAAGGCATCGCTGCAGATGCTACGTTCCCAGCATCCTCACAATGGAAGATCGGAAGGACAACTTGTCAAAGGGATTGTTGTTAGCAAACACTTCTCACAACGTTCAGGACCATTCAAAGTAGGACATATTCTGTATATATTCTGTATATATATATATAGCTCTTGACCATCGTCTGGAATTCTACAGCATCCAATTCCCGAACACATTTGGACCGCATGGCTTCTGTGTAGAAGCGGCAATCACACGCTTGAAAGCCAGGTTCGCCTTCCAAACTTACACAAGACTTTGTCAGTAGGTCACAATAGGTCCCTCAAACTTCTTCACAGGAAGGACACGAAGGCAGGGTCCGGTTGACTCAAAATATAAAGAAGTCTTGAAGTCATGTATATATATATATATATACCCTGAGCATCTGAACCCTAGTGTTTCCTCCAAGAACCTCGTGTTTTGGGATGAACCCTACGTTTTTGTCGTGTTTGGAGGCACAAGGTATATATATATATATATGACCAGTACTCTTTCCCAAAAGTCGGAGACCGCTGGATTTGACGGATCTTCCGTAAGAAGTGTGTGGTGAATAAACCACATCAGGAACGCCTTGCTCTTTCAACAGGTCTTCCCCAAGCATAGATGGGTTGGGTTGCTTTTGTACCCACCAAGGTTCGAAAAACACCCGGTCTGCACCGGTCCCCAGGTCCTGGTGCTCTCCTTCCGTTGGGGTCTGAGCTTCTGACCTTGGTTTGAGCGTATGGAGGGCCAATGGGATTCCCCAGAGGGTATCCCATATGCCTGCGGGTGACATGATATGACAGACTTCATGGAAAGGAAGAGGATGGCCCTCTACAAGAAAGATCGTGCTTCTCTACATATATTTATATATAAATACAATGTGCGTTAAACTCAACTCCAACAGAACTCCCAACAAGTCAAGCTTGCTGCTTTCGTCATTCTTCATCAGAACCATTCCCAGTTTTACATGATCATTTTCTTGCATCTGCTTGTCCCCCGAAGAGGTTCTTCGTGGACCTCGCTGTCCCACCAGCGACCCACACCCGTAACCCGCTCGTCCGAACTCCAAGGGCATCGGCCAGGGCATCACTGAGGGCTTCGGGCGGCTCGCAGCCACCTGCACAGAAAACAATCAGTGAGTGAGACAATTTTGAGACTCAAAAAAAGCGACTTCAAGTCTAGCTAGCATGTCCTACTTTTGAGGGATGCCGTTGGGTCTAGTCCGTCTTCAGTGCACATGCTCAAGCCACTGCTACAAAGAACAAAGATTGTAGGAAGGGCATCTCATGTATTCAATTATCGGGAGTCAGGACTGGCTCCGAACACTACAGATTGAGTCCGACAAAGAGTCGCCAAAAGTACCGTGCTTGGCAAAAGGCGTGCTTGGCCGACATGTTTGCGCAAGGATGACCCATCCTGTTGGGGGGTCATGAAGATAGAAATTCAGGATTCCATAGGATTTTTGCGAGGAGGTTGAAGAGCAAAATCGAACCCAATGAAGGCCTTGAGAAGGCTTGAGACAGGGCACGCTGGGGGATTCTTTTGCTCCGTACATCACTGCGTGCGAAGTTGGGCTCCGAGTCACGCGCGTTCCAGGGATCAGTCGCAAGGAGGCTCATGGATCATAGCAAATGAAGCAGTATGAAGCAAACATGAAAAAACGCTGGTTCGGCCATGGTGAGAAGGAAACACCTGCCCTTCTTAGCTCTGGCAAATCAGTTCTTTGCCAATTCATTCACATCTTAGCAGGTTAGTGGACACCACTTGCTGGTTACTCAGAGGATGTTTTCTACTAGTAGAAGATTGATGCGGTGTATAGTCCACTGAATGGTTGGCCGTTCTCTACCATTGCCAAGTGCCATGCATAGCTTGGACATCGGCCGTTTTCTGGTGCACAAGAGAATCTAGTCTAAAACTGTCAAATAAAATTGCTCCAACCTCTATAATAGCAATGGCCTCCAATCTAGTAGCAGTTAAGATTAATGATTATGTATCTGTACTACACTTTACTAGCCTCCAAGCAACTGGGTGCCCAGACCAGCTGAACTGGTTTCATTTCCACCCGCCTGCACTGTAGATGCAGGCGAGACGCTCTCCTGACTCTGGCTGCCTAGGCGGCGCAGTGACATGTGACATGAACACTCCACATGATCCTGCACGCCCAGAAAGCAACATGATCCCTCTTCTATCTGATATGAAGGCTTTGTGTCATGCTCGGATGGCACTCGAAACACAAGGTTAAGGCAGCATGGACAGTGTATACAGCTGAGCCATGTGGCTGGTGATGCATAGGATACAAAGGTCTCAGCATGCATTGCACGAGCATGTTTCATAGTCCATCAGGAAGGTTACCGATGGTCTGCATGACAAGCTTCGCTGTACCAGTGGGTTTCGGTGTACATTGGCCTTTGTATTCAAATCCCGAGCTCCAGCAAAGCGCATCGAAACCCAGAGTTTCCGTTGAATAACGAATTAAAATTAAAAGCACCATGCAGCATGCAAATCCAAAAATCGAAGACCCACCTACTACATACAGTAAAGGAAAATTGTCTTCCAAACCCAAGATGTTCTGCCCCAACTATCGCCCGGAAAGTAACACTTAAACAAACACACACTCCCACAACTACGCAATTGTCAGCTTACTTCTGTTTGATGTCCTAGCCTCTTCCCCCAAATCCTCGATCACTCTCGATCCCTGCAAGTACCCCAGGGGTGAGTTCATGCATTCTGCCAACACGAGAACACATGAACATGATTCAGTCTTCGCATGCAGTGCCTGGACGGGAGGTTGGTGGAGAGGTCGCGTTGAGACGCGATGCGGGACCTTCACGAGTGACGGTGACGCGGCCACCAGCCATTCTCACAGCCCAGCGTCCCGCACCCTCCGAACGTCCTGCCGGCCGTTAGACGAACACCGACGGCGCGTGCGTAGTGAAAAGAAGGGCCTCTGGATGGTCAAACCGAGTGAAACCTGATGGCCCAAAGGCGGATTCTAGGTTTTGAACAACCGAAAGGGCTCTTGGAGGGTCAAAGCTGTGATATGTGTTGTGTGGGGCCTCTGCAAAGTGTTCATCTGTCTTTCACGCAGAACACCCGTGAAACAAGCAAAATTAATGTACCTCTACGTCGCTACGTACTTGTACCTCTTGGTTGTATCAATCAAGAGTCTACACTACCATGAAACGATGGCTACAAAGCTGCAAAGACTACCCTGCCTCCGTCTGTCACAGCCTGCACGGCCGGCACCATCACCGTCGAAGCTGGGGAGACCTGCGCTTGTGCAAATCGAGGTAGGCAAACCGAAGAAGGGAATACAGAAATGATTTGTCAAACGCGGAGGACCTCAAGTAATCTAATCTATATATGATGAGATACGATGAGATGAGACAGTTACATATGTTATTTCAACTGCATTCAATTGCGAGGAGCCCTCAGCATCCAGTTCTTCTATCGTCGTCTTTGTGCTCTTCATTCGGTCGGTCAGTCTGCAAACCGAACGTCACACGTGTGTCAGTCGGTTTGCACAGGACCTACCACTGGTGAGTCACTGGCGCTCACGATGGTCTCAACGCCTCGGTCTTGCCGGATGCCTCGGTTCTGCGCCTGGCGGAGGGTCATGGCCGGACTGTGGACCGTCGGATGCACGGGTTGGGGGTGGAGATTCGTGAACAAAAGGTATATAAGATTGTATAAGTATCATGACAACAAAAACATCCTCAAATACCTGGTTCAAACATGCAACTCTAGATTCTTGAAGCATGGCACACACACACACATACTCGATTCAACTACCGCAAATGGGATGCAAACCATGGTGCGCTTGGGTGGTGACGGGCATAAACATATATATATATACACGTATGTGACAGAAAACCTGCTGGCCTGTATATACAGGACGAGAGTTTTTATGAGTCTTCCTTTTGGCAGACCATCCCAAATTATGCCACAGCTCCCAATTTAACCAAGCTGCCTGCATGGTTCCCTTTGGGTTCAACCTGTGATCTGTCCCGGTGTGTATTCGTTGTGTTTGTTTGTTTGTGTTGCGCTGTTGAGCAATCCGTGGTTCCTTGTAGCAGTAGCAGAAGGAAGCTACTGGACGTTACGGAACATGCAAAGCTGGGGCTGTGGATCAAAACCCATTCCGCCAGAGTTCGCTTGGATGTCCCAGGCGGGAAACAAACACCAGCACTACACTGCCTGGAACTAACATGGCCGTGGAAAACGGCTCTGTTTTCGTCACCGAACTCCGGCGTTCCCCCCAACGGTAGGGCCTGGGTGAGTCCACCTGTAGCTCCTGAGGCCGGATGGACAAACCACGGCCGGCATGTCATCGGGGCTTGGGAAGTCTCAGAACGTCGAATGCGAAGAAGCTGAGTCGAAGCCAATGAGATTCGTTTATGCTCACGCAGCCATAAGTCGAAGCGAACCTATGGAACAGCAGAGGCCATGTACAAGAAGCCCATGATGAAGAGACCCCTTCGATCCCCTTCCCGGGCACGGAGGAGGCGGAAGGACAGGAAGCTCCATTTCAAAGCATGGCGTCTGTATGGACGCCCCATGGAGACGATGCACTACCCCATAGAGACGATGCAATACCAAGTCCATTCCTCCATGACTGAAATCAGTTGGTATTTACACCACAGGTTCACCCAAAGCCTCGCTTGATGACCTCCTCCAACTCCCACATCCAACGGCGATTGAACCACAGTTGTGGACTTTCACATGTTCCTTGATATCTGTTTAATGGATGCTGAATTCAAAAGCAACAAGATGCCGCTGGGGGACATTTTGGATTGATTGATTCCATTGTGATAAACTGCCGTTGCTCTCAATTGAAAGAGTTGCATTCTTAATTTGGGGTGAAAGCAACCCAAAACACATTGTTTTCAGGCAAAGGCCAGCTGCTCCAAACGCGAGCTCATACACTAAAAGTGAATGTCTCAATATGTCTCAATAAGCCCAGGCTATGCAAGGCTATGCGAGGCTGCAAACACTTCGAAAACATGTCAAGATTGCAACGAACTGTGCACTTCAAGTTCCCGACGGGAGCCTTGCAGACTGGGTCTGGGTCACAGGACTGGGACTGGGTCGAAAACAGAACCTCGTAGTTGGGGGAGTCCAAAGAACGATGTGATGTGACTCGTGTATGCGCAACGCGTGCACCTCAAAGCCGCACACTTTATATATACCTGAAGATTCATTCGTCTAGGAATTCTTAGTAGTCTTAGGTTTTGATATAGTTTTTGGAATATCGTTGGCTTTCAATGGAAAGCGTCTAAGATTACTAAAACGACAAAAAAAATCATATATACATACATATAGCAACCTTGTCAAAGATATCCCTCAACTGCGCTCCCCTGCGCCTTGGCTCCACGCTCAGGCATCCTGGCTCCAAGTCGACATGGAGACATACCCCGAAGCCAGGTTCTCCACGGCGACTGCTCAAAGTGGCGGATTAGGAGGGGAAAACCGAAGGATTCTGGTCCCATCCGCGAAACGGCGCCTGGTCGGCGGCCCAAAGGTTGGTGGGGTTGACCTGCCGAGACCTGTCCTTGCAAGGACATGTTGAAGGCACATGGATCGTGGAAAACCGGGATGAACCATGGAACCCCCTGGATGAATTCAGAATGAATGCCCATGACTTATGTGTTGGTATGCCATTTAGTTGTAGAAGTGTCCCTGCACCTGGTCACTCCTTACATTACAATCAGAAAATGCACACTCTCAACGGTGCATCGGGACAAAGACGTGGTTGCTTCTAACATAATTCAATGTTGCTGCCGCTCAGTGCGACCATAACCCGAACACTCCAATGTATGTATGGCAATGTATGGCAATATTCATGTAAATTGAAACCCTTTTTCAACAGTTGTCAACCACCCCCATGGAAGTGTCTGAATGTGTCTGGGTAGATTTCAGCCATTTTCAGCCATGTTCATCCACTCTTAAACCTGATCAGCTTGCCCTCCCGTGCCTCTTCTCCGCTTCCAGCCCCTTGAGGCCCTCGTAGGTCTGCGAGGTCGGTGGCTCCGGAGGCCAAGACGTGACATGCTCCGCCCTGTGGATCGTCTAGGATTCATGCTTCCCTCCACTGCTTGTGGGGTCCTAGAAGCTCCTCCTCCAAGATTGATCAAAACAAATCAAACATCCTCTAGAAGAAGGGGATGTCATGGTCGAGAGTCGACCCGGTCGACAAGGCGCCAGTTGGATCGGTCCAAACACCTTTGAGTCGGAGCTACTTGGATCTCTATAGGGCCGGGACATGGGGAAACATCCATTCAAGCGATTGTTCCACAAGAAACTAACTATATTAAAACGGAGAAAGAACCAACAAACTGGGGTCTGAGATTGCTTCAATTTTTGTGAGTCAACCTGTTCAAACCACATTGTCATTTGGTCTGAGAGTTTGGCATTGAACATTGAGCACCTACTTACCATTTAAAGTGATTCCCTCGAACCAGTATGTTCGCATCTCCATTTCCACCACCCAGGACCCAAGGTACAAAAAACATGTCCACTGCAACAACTGCAGCCACGTAGAACCATGTAAATTTAGATGTTCGCAATGATTCCAAAGCCGTCCATTGTCCATCCGTCTCGGTCATCCATTCACTGTGAGGAAAAACAGTCGTGATGGGCACTCAAGCCGCCTGAGTCAGATCAAATGAGCTGGTCGGAGCATGCAGCAAGACCCAAGGGCTCTTCAAGGCGTCCTCGCGCAGCTGGCGTGGATGGCTCTGGCATAATTTGGATGGGCAAGGGGCGCCGTACCAATTGCGGATGTTTACTGGATGGTACGGTACGTGCTCCAAAGAGAGGTCTCGCGACTTGGCCACCCAGCCAGAACTTCAAATTCGATCAACGAGCTGACTGCTAATCCACAGCTGCTCAATGTCTTGAAGCAAGCATGCCCCTCAACCGAACGGCCTAACCTGAATCCCCGCCATGTTGGCCATGTCCCCTGCGTGCCCGGCGCCCCCCCCTCGGTGCTCGGCGCCTTCAACCCCAGGCGCCTTCGGAACGGGCATCGACCGTGACGAAGCGAGCGGAAGGAGGCGGATCGAGGGTTGTGAAAGGGGTGGTCTAAGCAGCCAAAAACGACAGGCAAAAGGAACCATCACGAAACCAAAACAACAATTGTAACCATGAACAATAAATTCATAGAATATCATGGTCCATGATCAGCCTGAAAACGATTGTTGACAATGATGCAATGATGCAGTAAGTCATGAGATGTCACGACATGTAATTTGCATCTATGAAATGACATTTTTGCATTCCAGAAGCAAAAAAGGCAACACCACGAAAGGCCAACAGGAACCACCCAGTCACTTTACACATGGGTAACAATGGGTAACACCACATTTGGGCATCCCATCAAAAACATGATGAAAACATGTCGAGGTTTGTCCCCGTTTCAAATTCATCTGCAAGTGGTGCAAGAGAAAACCGGTTCGACACAATTCGTCCACCTGGTCCACTCGACCCCACTGTAGCACCACGTGAGCCATTGGCGGGTTGTGTCTACGCTCACTCATCCGTGGTGCGTTTAGAGTCCCCAACTCGCATGCACCTACATCCTGGGTCCTGTGTAGATGAGCATGGTCAGGTTAGGGACCTTTTTACCTGCCTGCTACTGGTTTACTGGGACACACCCTACTTACATCTACAACTGGAAAACAACACACTCTTGTGGGACGTAGCACACTCTTGCGGCACAGTCTTGTGGGACCATGGGGAAACTCTCCTTGGACACGTTTTGGGACACTCTCATTGAACACTCTTGTGGGACACTCTTGCAGGACACTGTTGTAGGAGACTCTTGTGGGAGACGGGACACTCTTGTGGGAAACTCTTGTGAGGGACGCGACAATCGTAGGGGATACTCTTCACGAAC